ATATATATATATATATATATTCACGCTTGACTTCCGCGTTATTCCTTGTCGTGTGTTGTTAGTTGTGAGCGTGTTTATAGTTTACTTGACTGCCTCAAAACCCTTCAATGCATATGAAATTAAAGGAGAATATTTGCAAAAGATACATCTTTTAGTGACTTCATTTAGAAAAAAATCGTTCGACGATTTTTTTGAATGCCGCTTTCTTCGATATTTTCTGTATTTTCTATCGCTTTTGACAACAAATGCGGGTCATTTAGTTTCATATCAAAAAATCCATAACGTTAGAAAGAAAGTCACAATGTGATTCATACTCAATAAGGACAGTGTCTATATCCGCACCTATATTCTAGCTGCTAAAGATATTGAATCCACTAAATTCAAGTCCCGATTTTGAGGGTATAAAGTTGACACGCTAGAAATAATAGTAAAGGTCCATGAAAATATTCATCGCGTAATATTTGTAAAACGCTCTCTTACTTTTTTTCCATATTGCAATATGTAGAGGGCCTTGATGAATACTATCGACTGGTGCAAGTCGCTTTGAAAGTTTAGGTCTAGTTTTCGAGAAAATAAGCGGTAAACGATTTCTATGATGTCATCATTAYGTCATAATGAAAAGGCCGCTTTAAACTAATTCATCCCTTTTGAAACCTTCAATCCTTTCCTGTCATTGTGTGAAAAGCGCTTGCAGATCGAGTTATTCAAGATGAACTTGTAGCCGTTTCAATGCGGCTAGGTGTGCCAGACCAAAACTAACCAGAGCCTCCTTAAAATGACTCCAAGTTTTTTCTTCAAACTTCATACATCAATAGACCAGAGCCAATGTGTGCCAGACCAAAACTAACCAGAGCCTCATTAAAATGACTCCAAGTTTTTTCTTCAAACTTCCTACATCAATAGACCAGAGCTTTATCTAGATGGTAGTGAAATTTCTACAGCTCGTTCTATCCAAATTTTGGAGAAAACGTTTTTTAAAGTGAGGTGTACCTAAAGAGCTCACCTCGTCGGTCGACAACACTGAACGCTCTCGGTCGTTCCACACGGTTAAGTTCGGGAGAATATTTGCATAACGACATCTTCAATGTCATTGTGTTTATGCAGATACTCTGCCGAACCTGTTCCGACGTTAACATTGTGGAATGCCCGAGAGCGTTGTTGTCGACCGATATTGAATTAATTATTTCTAGCGGGGTGAGCTCTTTAGGTCACCTCACTTTAAAAAATATTTTCTCCAAAATCTGGAAAAGTAAATTCTTTACCATTATTTATTATGGACAAAATCGCAAAAAAATCGCAGCAAAAATCGCTAGTGTAAACGGGGCTTTAGAGAGTGTTGTGAATGATATCCAAATAATTAAAACGTATTCTACCAACTTTATTTCTTTCGTTATAATTTCCCAAATGTTATTATTTCATATATTCATAATAAAGTTAACGTAAAAAATAATACATATCTATAAAACCCTTATTTTTTCCGAAATCATTCAGTTTGAATATCAAACGATTCCTGTTTATGTTCCAGATTTTAGTATAATAACATGAGATACAGTCACATATGTCATTAACGTCGTCCACCGAAAAAAGGCATTTACACATTTAGACGTTTAGACCAAGGGCGCCAGGACAGACGGATTGGGTTTTAAATATGTGTGATTGTTTCAGTTATTCGTAGTTTCTACTGAGTTGAATTGATATATGTTTGTTTCCAAATGGACACTAAATAATGTTCACTTTCCATCCAACGGTCTTTCTGGTTCGAATCAGCCGTACGATATGAATATATTTACCACGTCCACCAACGGTCTTTCCGGTTTGAATCAGCTGAACGCTCTGAGTATTTACCGCTGCACTATCCGTGCCAAGCAGTGCCGGCGTCGCTTCGTTAGCGATTACTGTCCTTTAATAAGTTAATAAAATTTACCTTCAGTACAGTAAAATATTTTACAATACTTTAAAAATATTTCAGCATATCCTTATTTGATTGGAAACCATTCAATAACTATCAATTCAATTAGAAACTACGAATAGCTGAAACAATCACATTTAAAACCCAATCCGTCTGGCGCCCTTGTTTAGACTAAAAGAAATATCACGTGTTTAATTATGTATTCTTTGCCTCGTGTGCGTCAGACTGAACTTTAAATGTAAAATTCAAGTCGTGAATCGAAAATCCAGAATGCCCCGACCATTTAGTGAGGATTTAAGATTGAGAAAGGTTATTTCAGCGTTTGTTTTATGCCAGAACGTTCGAGGAAAAACGTGATATTTATTTTGGTCTCAATTTCAAATGTGTAAATTTGTAAACGTCTTTTTTCGGTGGACAACGTTAATGATTAAAGCTGTATTAAAGCAAACGAAGGAACGTGTACTCTAAGCTGAAGGATCGCTCATTCCCCTGCCAAGTAAACGGCGTCGAAGATGAATGTTATCAGACTGAAAGATAAGCACACAGAGAAGAATGTTTAGTCTTTCATTTGTAGGTTAACAGATAAAATTGGCCCAAGACTCCCGGCCCCCTCCCCCCTCGTCCCCGCGTAAAAGTATCGGGTATGCTCGTCGAAAATATTCAAACTTACCCCTAAATAATACCGGAATCCCTTTAAAAAGGGAGCGGTTGGACGATGTTTAACCCCTAAGAGATACCCTAAACGGATGCCAAGATATGCTGAAATTCTAAATTTAAATTTTAACAACCTAAATGATACCAAATCGATAATTTTTACCCCAAAGATATAAGATGAGCATACCCGATGCTATTACCCCGGAATCTCCCCATCCCCAGGGGGACCATGACAAAGTGATTTCTAGTAACAAGGCGTCCGTAATAGGCAGTGTCTAGCTTAACCAAGAGTATTCCCAAAAGAGTCAAAAGACATGGCGGTGGAGATGTCATTAATAGTGGATACTAAATAATAAATACCTCCAGCATGGCCGAAATGACGTTACGTGGAAACGAAAAATAAAATGACAAAAGACACGGCCGCCATGTTGGTTAGTGCAACAAAAGAAAAATTATCCAAAGCTTTTGTGTAAGTCAACCATACTGGCGGCTATGAGACAACTATATTATTCACCTCGTATCCAGCTTCATCTGCGCTCATAGACCCGAGATCCTTTATTGTCTGAAATTTTGCCACAGCCTCGGCTTGCGCTTGAAGGGCTAACAGATCTTCGTGCTCCGACAATGAGCCGGTGCGCGGACGATATCGTATCGTCATGTCATCGTCTTCGTCTTCGGAAATGCTTCGGAACATATGTCGGGCTTCGGGAGCGCTGGAGCTGAGCTCTACATCTGAGTCATCATGAGGAATCCAGTCCTCGTAGGATAGACTTCTTAGAGGGGGGTCAATACGAGAGATTTTTTCGGCTAGATCGGTGAACGTCTGGCCACTTTTATGGGAATGGGATCCCTAGATAAGAAAATAAATATATGTATCAGAAATTTAGACTAAGGTAATACAACCTAATGAGGTTTTAAACCTGAAATACGCAATTCTTTTCAAAATCTCTTTTTATATTAAAAGAGTTTAAAATCCTTTGAGAATACCAAGACAATAGTGAAAATTAGCATTTTAGAAAAGCTACCGAAAGAGATTCTGCACATGTAAGTATAAATTTCATCATGCTTAACTAGAGGCCTTTATCATCCGATCAACATCAAACGGACGAATCTTGCGATGGACGGACGGACGGACGGACAGACGGACGAATAGAAGGACGGATAGAAACACAAAGAAAGCCAGATAAACAAACAACTAAGTAGAGGGAAAAGAGATACCAACCTAGCAAACAGACAGGATAGACAGGTAAACGGATCAAGAAGCAAATAAATGACAAATAATAAAATAAAAAAAAGAGTCAACAAAGAACACAGATATGAAAACACAAGCAAGCACCGAGATAGACAGAGACATACCAGCACCACCATCAACAACAAAAATATGTTGTCAGACAGACTGGAGATAGGAACAAGAAAGAAACAAAAGAGATAGAGAGAGGTAAGATTACCTTGTCAGGATTCTGATTACCATAGATGTGTGATCTGCTGATTTGCTCGCGTAGAATTTCTGGTAAGCGATTAGAATTGCTCCATTCACCGAACACAGTCTTGCCGTGCTGGAAGCCTACCTCCTATTGTCATCAAAGAAAACGAAACGATAAAACAAATTTCAATAATGGAAAATGAAAATAAAAGAATTATTGGGGTGCAACAACATTACTCAAAATCCCTTGAATAAATAACAAAACAGTTGAATAATCTGACCAAAACGGTAAACTAGACAGAGATCGAACTGATAAAAAACGCTAGCCAATCAGATAATCACGTTCTCGCGCTCTTGTTTTATCAATGTGCTAWCTGATTGGCTGGTTAAGAATATTGGACTGAATGATTGGTTAATGATAATATTCTAGTAAAACGGTTCCTATTCGAGTATCTGCACAGTAATGATTACAACACTAAACGAGGGCTGCGGGGAAGACTACACTTACCACTATCTCGTCAAATCTTCCGAATTCTAATGTCTTAAACCTGTGGAAGAATTTCAATGCAGATATTCATTTCAGATTGTTATAGACCCTTTTCAAATTCCAAATTTTCGCTGTGTTAGTTGATTGCAGACTCATTTACGCAGGCTTAGCCTCGTATAAGTGTCTAAATATTCACAAATACCAACGGTAAAGTAAAGAATGCACAACGTCAACAATACACCGAATCGAAATATGGCGACCAATTTGAATAACTATTGTTCTGCACTGACTAGCGACTGACTAACCTCGTGTTCACGTGAAAACATAAAAGCATTTTCACATGTATGAGAGGCTAGCCAGTYGCTAGTCAGTGCAGATCAATAGTTATTCAAATTAGTCGCCATATTTCGATTCGGTGTATACGAACACTTTGAAACTTGACGGATCTTGACTGAAAGACGTGAATATTCTTCACAAAATCGAGGCTAAGCCTGAGTAAATGAGTCTGTAATCAAGAAACACAGCGGTAATTTGGAACTCGAAAATGGTCTACTGAGTGACTACTTGGCCCGTGAAACAAAGTTGTATAATCAATCAGGTAAAAAAATAATGGAATTAGTGTCTACTACTATGCAATTATGTTTACGGGCCAAGTAAAGACCAACGCATCACATATTCTACTGACCTGTCGATAGGGGGTCGTACGTACTCACAGTAGCTGCTTATCTTTACCTCCTCCAGCTGCTGAACACACGAGACGTACGCGAGACGGGATTGAATCTCRGCCATGTCAGGGATCTAGAATTGCATTACAAGCAATACTTTTAGTGTTAAAACTAAACGTACGGAGAAAAAAAAGTTAGGTAACTTTAAAATGAATGGGAGTGGAAGTGACTGGGACAAAAGACAAAAAAAAAAATAAATAAATAAAATAAAAGCTAACAACACTGTTCGCGGCTGTCCCACTGTACTTGTTCTTCAAACCTGGCAGAGTTCTCTCAAGAAACAAAACAGCGCAAGGAATTGGAGGGGGGAGGGG